TGTGCTGTGTATATTTATTATGTATATAGAAACACACACATGCATGCATATGTTTAAGAAAAATATGTGTTTATATATTAAATATATTTATATATAATATAAGAATATAAATATATAAATGCATATGCATGTACATATTTTCAAAATATATACTGTGTGTGTGTATTTATATATACATAATAAATATACACAGCACATACACATATATTATGTAAACTAAAACTTTTATTTTGGATCGCGATTAATCGTTTGACAGCACTATTAAAAATTAGTAAAATAAAAAAAAAAAATGTTTTTATTTCTTTTAATCTTATACTTACCTCAAACTATTGAATGCTATTGTATCATGATTTACACAAAATAATAATAATAATAATTATTATTATTATTGTTGTTGGCGTTAATGTTGATTATAATTTGAGATTTATCTTGAGCAGCAAATCAGCATATTATTATGATTTCTGAAGGATCATGTGACACTGAAGACTGGAGGAATGCTGCTGAAACTTCTCAGGAATAAATGACATTAGAAAACGATTGAGAATTGTATATCACTGTATTACTGTGTTTAATAAATACAGCCTTTGTTTTCCTCTTTGTAACACAGAAGGTGATGTTAGGCAGAATGCCTGTCCCTCTGTCTTTCATACAATGTAAGTGGATGATGAAAGGAATTAATACAAATTTTTCTGCCTGTGTGTCTGTGCACTTTTAGGATTGATAGACTGCGGCATCAGCTGCTTCCAGTTTACACTTATGACCCGACCGAAGAGCTGAACGAGGCAGAACAGGACATTCTTTGGAAAGAGGAAGACACAAAGGTAATCCATCCTGTTATGAGATGAAAAATGCTGATGTCTAATGCTTGACTCCCAGTGCAATACTGAAAGCAAATGTTAAAGGGATAGTTCACCCAAAAATGAAAATTCTGTGGTTAATTACTCACCCTCGTGTCGTTCCAAACCCGTAAGACCTTTGTTCATCTTCAGAACTCAAATGAAGATATTTTTGATGGAATCTGAGAGCTGTCAGACCCTCCCATAGACAGCAACACAACTGAAATGTTCCCAAGGCCAGAAACGTAGCAAGAAGATCTGTAAAATAATCCATGTGACATCAGTGGTTCATCCGCAATTATACGAAGCTACGAGAATACTTTTTGTGCGCAAAAAAGCAAAACAAAAAAAACACTTTATTCAACAATTCGTCTCCTCCCTGTAGCGCCATTTTGGAGAATATCAGCTGGATGTAAACAGCGTATGCCGAATCTGTTTCCTACATTGTTGTGATTTGATCTGAACGGAAACATTGTATCTGTGTGCCACAGCTGACACAGAACAGCATACGCTGTTTACATCCAGCTGATATTCTCCAAAAT